AACTAGGGATTGTGTACATTGTAAAAGCGAGAAGAACTGCAAATACTTAGAACTGATCAACTTATAATTGTAATTTTGGAATTGCTATTCCAAAAATAAAACAAAAAAAAAGAAACTTAATCCTATAATATGCATGGGTCTCTTATAAAAGCCTGGGTGTGGTGTGTGTTCTTCGTCTTTTGCAAAATATTTCGAGTTAATATTTTGCGCCACAAGTTCTGACTGTAACCCATTGCGCCTCGCAGTCATGACAGCGCGCTGTTGGTGTTTTGCAATTTGTTTGCCATTTTCCATAAGCCAACTTCTGTTGCACATTATGCTAATGACATGCCTATGTTGCCGCCCCCATCCCCCGCACCCGGCCACGCGTCCAGCCATTCGCCTCTTCGGATCGAGGTGATTAATCAAAAAGCTTGCAGCGCCGGCAGAGACACACTGCAAAAATGTTGCCCCGATGCCAGGTATAAATGCAATTTGCAATTGTTGGACCCGCAAACCGATCCCCGATCCCCACCAGCTCTACGAGTTCAATCCCAGTTAGTGCTACGGCCATAGATATAACCCGGCTCTTTGTTTGCTGTTGGCGAAAGGTGTCGGAGGTGTGTGTCCGTATCTGTATGTGCTGCTGCTGCTTTGTCTATCTCTGGAGCGTGTTAAAAATTTGCTGCAGTTCAAATTGGTTGCTTTGGTCTCTGTGATGATGCAAGCATTCAGGATTTGAATGGGTGTTGGAATGTGCCACATTAATGGTGCTTTGTATCGTAATTACGGAGAGTCCCAATTAAGTGTTTAAGTATTTGTTTTTGGAAGTGAATTTTAATTAATTTTACTATGTATATATCTGAAAAATTTAGGTGGAGAAATTAAAAGACTTGGGTATCAGGCCTTTCAAATATCACCTAGATTTACTTGATAATTCTTGCGCAACTCCGAAAATAACTTAAAATTCTGTTCCTATTCTGTTACCTTTAACATTTATTCATAACAAGCTTGGGCTGTTGTAATTCAGACCCAACGGACTACTAAAAATAATCCCTTGGGAACGCAAGGCCAACAACATTACTTGGGGTTTTAGACACCCACAGAAACCCTCAAGCTCCGAAAGGGGACGCCGTGGTCCCCAATTAGAGCACCCTACCAACCCCCATTGGCTTTGGCTTTTGGGGGTGCAGATCCGCAATAAAAAAAACTGCCGCTTTCATGTCACGCATAATTGAAAGCAACTTCCTATTCAGTGGGCAACTCCGACGTCAACAGAGATATCAACCACCCCCAAAGCAAAGGCCGGGGACCGACGGATAGGAAGGAGTCGGGAAGTCCAACCCTCGAAGCTTGTGTGCCCCACAAAGCATGTCAATGTCATGAATATTATTGACATGGATTTCCACCCACACAAAAACCCCTTACTCACTCCTCCCTTGCGACAGAGTACGCCATATTCTTTCTAGGGGGCGCATTTCCGCGAAAACAAAAAGAACAAAAAAAAAAAGGAGAAATAAAAAAACTGTGAAGGTCAACCCCTTTGCCAAAGCCCGGAGGGAAGTTTTCCCATGTAACTGAAGTTGCCTTCGATGGCCTGTCAAAGCCAGAGCCCTGATAAAAATCGATAAGCGACAGACGGCGAACGAGGAACACCGAACTCCGAATGGGCGGTGTGGAGCCCAGAGCCCAACCCGCTTATTGTCTCGGTCAGCGGACTTGTCGTGCCATTAGATTACCCCGCTCGACTGGCTGAACCGAGCTGAACCCGACTTGGTTTCAGGGGCTAGTCGAATTGCAGCAAAAGTGCAGAAACTTGCCGGTTGCCGAATTGGGAATACTCTTAGATATTAGGGAGTTATACGAGTTTTTAATTTGTTTTTGTTAGATTTTTCAGGTTATTGTAGAATTACATATTCTTATCCGCTTAAGTCTTTCGGCTGTAGTAAAGTTCAATGAACCCGTATTTATAATTAAGATTAAATTAATAAATTCGTGAGGAAAGTTCAACCTTAGATAGAGTATAAGGTAGAGTATAAAAGCTGTAGAATCTCTCGGTATGCAGTGGATTTCGTGTCCCGACTGTTGTTGGGGAGTGTAATGCGATAGCGGCGCTACAAGAGCTCGGAGAAGTGAAGAGGTGGGGGGAGGGGGGTGCCAAGCCAGCTAATTGCCATGCACTTTTCATAAGCCAGAGCGAGGCAGCCCGGTATTATTAGGTAAGCGTAATTAGATCATGGCTGAATCCAGCAGTCCACTCCACAGCTCGGACTAGAACCGAGTGTCAGCCTGGAGGGGACTGCTCTACTTCGAACCGCAAAACGTAACTGACGTTTAGATTTTATTATAGTTTTTCAAAAAAGTTGCATACAAATTAACTTTTAGGTGGTTATTGCAAAAATAAAAAATCTAGACCCGAAAACTGCGTCAAAAACTGTGCTACATTATATTTTTGATGTCTCAAACATTTTATTGCATACTTTTAAACAGTATTCTAAAGGATTTCAATACCCTAGCAATTTCTGTAAAAGACCCAACGCCTTTTCCATCTCCTAAAACAAATCTCCCGTCCAAGGCCAAAGCTTCGAAATCTCAAGACCATTTAATTTGCATTCCATCAACCGTTACCGCAACAAGCACAGATACACACATCCAAATCAGGAAGAGGCGCACTCATGGTACAATACACTTCCGCCTCCCACAACTCCTACAAAAACAACAAAGTATAACGAAATCACATGTGAAGTCTATGCTGGTGTGGGTACAGTGCCATACGAAATACAACAACAACGGCAGAAAAGAGAGCAGGAGAAGGAAGAAGGCAAAAGCCAGAAGCCGAGAGGCCGAAGAGGGAAGCCATCATCGAAAATCGCTTGGCTGCATTTGTTGGGCCTTGAGTGCCACTCAGAACCCCCCCAAACCGCCATAGGCCATAACGAACATGCACACACACATGCATATACAATCGTATGTATGAGTATGTGAGTATGTGATATGAGTATTTCCCTGAAAGCCAGAACATAAAAGTCAGCAAAAACCAAATGCTGACCATTGACTTCGTCTCTTTTTTAGCTCTCTCTCTCTTTCTCTAGTTGGCTGCACACCCACACAAGCTCAGCTGAGAATGATTCTTGATGGCGCAGAGTGAGAGAGAGGGCATCGTTCGAATTGTGGCTCTTTTGATATAAAACAATTTTTGTTTATTTTCTTTTGTGCTTAATTCACACACACACACACCCATGCCGCCTATCACCCTGTCTACGAGTATTCCTGTTCTTCTTTCTCTAACCCCAAAGGCAAAAGACGAGAAAATAAACTGACGCATGCTTTGCACTCTCTCGCTCTCCGGCTCTGCTCGTTTGTCTCCCCCGCGGCGCATGTGTTGCTTCTTATACTGTATCTGTGTGAGTTTCTCCGAGTATTCTGGCTCAAGTGTGTGTGTGTGTGTGGTGGAGCTGCCTTCGTTGCTGCGTCTTCTTCGTGGTTGTGCTTCGCCGTCGCCGCCGTCGTCGGGCTTGTTGTTGTTGTATGCAAGGTCGTTTGCGTACAAAATTCAACATTATTTGAAGGTCGTCCTTTGCCCGTTCTGCGTTCTGCGCGTCACTTCTTACTCGTTCTCGTGCTCGCTATCTCTTTTCTTCCTCCCGGCTCTCGCTCTCCGTGTCTCTGTCTCTGTTTTGACTTGGCCGTTTCTTATGCCGTGCAGTGCGTGGGGTTGTTGTCTCCACTAAACAACACTTCTTCTGCTTTTCTTTTAGGGGTCGCGCGAGTTCGTTTCGAATTGTGTTTCCTTTTAATTGCATTGCAGCACTGGCTCGAACTGATGGAAAACCCTCACCAAGCAGCGCCCACACTATCGGGAACATCTACCCCGGGCACCCCTTTGTTGCCAGGTGACCTCGCCCTGCCCTTGTCACTGTACAGTGTTATCTCGTAAAGAAAGTCATGGTTCTATTAAATAATTGAATTAAATTTTGAATTGATTAAGTTTTTAGAATATTTATACGTATTTATGTAGGTATGGGAACTCTTTTTCCTATTTTCCTTGTACATTGCAGGCAAAGCATATTTTTAAATATTTTTCCAACCCCCCTATTTGAACTGGACACTCCTATGTGCCACTGTACTCGTTGTCGTATTCTTTCTCCATCCCGCATCACATGTGCCCAAAGAAGAACGGAGGGCCAGCCCAGCTGCGTGGCGCTGGGTTAATGTACCTTAAATTTATTATAATACCATCCATTCTGTTCGGCGGTCCGCTCGTTCCATCCATCGGAGCCATATTCTGTGGGTCGATGACATTTTTCGTGGCTGGCCATTGCCTATAGTTGCTGAGCATTGCCCAAAACCGGAGAGAAGGAGGAGATAAGCAGTGAGTGAGCAAGAACAGAGCAGAAAGCCGCAGCGTTTTCCGCGCTGTGCTCATATGAGCGGTTCTTTGAAGCCGGCTTGCGGGCGAACGCAATTAGCATAAGTGCCGGCCAAGGTCGCCGGGGTGGGTGGCTGTATGGGGTGGCATTGACCCTATTGTCGTTGGACTTCCCTCCGCCATTAATAGGCCTTTGTTCGCGTTGCCAGGCACTCGGAGTAGAGTCGCTGAGCAGCAGTCTGTCCGCCAGCAAAGCGGATTGAGTCACGCCAAAAAGGTTCTCGAGAAGCGGGAGAAGCCCAAGTGTGGCTAGTAAAAAACCTGCGAAATTCTCTAAGCGTTTAGGCCAAAACTTGTTTTTAGCCGAAACTATAAAATTGAGTAAGCTGCTCACTTTTGAAATGGAACCATGTGATGTGGATCTTAGGAACTATCTTAACAGTAACTCTCACTTAAAACTTTAAAGTTTAAACTAAGTAAAATTAGCAATATCACTATAATACTAAGAAGTCTAGACTAGGCTAGAAGTCCAGTTTTCGTAGGCTTTAAATAAATTCTCTTAGGTTCTCAATTGCTTTTATTTTCTTTAACTTTTAACTTTAACATCATAAAATACTCACTTACTGACTTCAATTCTTTCCAATCTTTCCAGTTTTACAACACAATGGAACTGCATCAACGACATCTCTCAAACTTTTACAAAATTGCACAACTGAGATAAGCACATATAAATCGTAAGAGAGCACATCGATCTGCCAGAGCAGCAGATCGCCTCACTGGAGGCCATTGTCATAGTACCACCGCTAAAGAATCAGCATGCCGAATATGTCCAGTATCAAGACGGAGCAGCAGAGCACTGGCGGTGGCTATCAGCTGCCGGTCAACATGTGCACCACCACTGCATCCACGACGACAACAACACTGGGAGTAGGAGGAGTAACCGGCGGAACCACCGGATCGAGACACAATGTGTCCGTGACTAACATCAAGTGCGAGTTGGATGATCTGCCCACGCCCAACGGTAACCTGGTGCCTGTGATTGCCAACTATGGCCACGGTAGCCTGCGCATTCCACTGAGTGGAGGCCCACCTCCCAATCATGAGGAGGAGTCAGATTCGGAGGCAGAGCTGGCGAACATCGAGAACCTGAAGGTGCGCCGGCGGACGGCGGACAAGAACGGGCCGCGTCCCATGTCATGGGAGGGCGAGCTGAGCGAACCGGAGGCCAACGGTGGCGACGAGGAGCTGATGGAGACGGAGCCGACGATTAAGAGCGAGGTGCTGGTAGCACCCCTGCAGCCCGCTTGTGCTCTGCAACCCATTAAGACCGAACTGGAGAACATCGCAGGCGAACTGCAGCAGCAGCAGCAGCAACTGCAGCAGCTAGGAAAGGCTTTCCCCCTGAACACCAGCACCACCAGCGCCTCCCAATCGCTAGCGGCGAATCCCAAACTTAAGCTGGCGCCCACGCAAAGCGATCCCATCAATCTCAAGTTTGAACCGCCGCTGGGCGACAACTCGCCGCTGCTGGCCGCCCGCAGCAAGTCGAGCAGCGGTGGCCACCTGCCGCTGCCCGCGAATCCCAGTCCCGACTCCGCCATACATTCCGTCTATACGCACAGTTCGCCATCGCAGTCGCCGCTGACCTCGCGTCACGCCCCCTACACGCCCTCGCTGAGTCGAAACAACAGCGACGCCTCGCACAGCAGCTGCTACAGCTACAGCTCCGAGTTCAGTCCCACCCACTCACCCATCCAGGCGCGACATGCCCCCCCGGCCGGCTCGTTGTACGGCAACGGAGGTGTGCATCATCACAGTGTGTTGTATCGCCCGCTAAAGGTGGAGGCCTCGTCCACGGGACCGCCATCCGGCAGCCAGGAGGCGCAAAATCTGAGCATGGACTCCATTTCCAACGGTCTGGATGCAACGGGCTCGGGGTCTTCGCTGCCTGCATCACCGGCTGGCATATCGCGCCAGCAGCTCATCAACTCACCGTGTCCCATTTGCGGCGACAAGATCAGCGGCTTCCACTACGGCATCTTCTCCTGCGAGTCCTGCAAGGGGTTCTTCAAGCGCACCGTGCAGAACCGCAAGAACTATGTGTGCGTGCGTGGCGGGCCCTGCCAGGTGAGCATCTCCACGCGCAAGAAGTGTCCGGCCTGCCGGTTTGAGAAGTGCCTGCAAAAAGGCATGAAGCTGGAGGCCATCCGCGAGGACCGGACGCGTGGAGGTCGCTCCACGTACCAGTGTTCGTACACGTTGCCCAACTCGATGCTCAGTCCACTGCTAAGTCCCGACCAAGCAGCAGCCGCTGCTGCTGCCGCAGCGGTGGTCAGTCAGCAGCAACAGCAGCAGCAGCAGCAACATCAGCAACAGCATCATCATCAGCGACTCCAGCAGCTGAATGGCTTCGGCGGCGGACCCCTTCCCGGCTCAACCTCCCTGCCAGCCAGCCCGAATCTGGGTGGGGCTTCCATCAAGACGGAGGACCTGGCCACGGAGGCGGGCAAGCAGAGTCTGCGAACTGGAAACGTGCCGCCGCTACTGCAGGAAATCATGGATGTTGAACATCTCTGGCAGTACACAGATGCCGAGCTGGCCCGCATCAACCAACCGCTGTCTGCATTTGCCTCCGGCAGTTCCTCGTCGTCGTCATCCTCGTCAGCCACTTCATCGGGCGCCAACCAGGGCCAACAGCCGCAGCTGACCAACCCACTGCTGGCCAGTGCCGGTCTCTCTTCCAACGGCGAGAACGCCAATCCCGATCTGATTGCCCATCTGTGCAACGTGGCGGATCATCGTCTCTACAAGATTGTCAAATGGTGCAAAAGCTTGCCGCTCTTCAAGAACATTTCGGTTAGTGCCAGCGGATGGAGTTTATTGTGGTTCCTTGGAATTAATTGCTGATCTTTATTTTCCAGATCGATGATCAGATCTGTCTGCTCATCAATTCTTGGTGCGAACTGTTGCTCTTCTCCTGCTGTTTTCGATCGATCGACACTCCCGGCGAAATAAAAATGTCACAAGGCAGAAAGATAACACTGTCGCAGGCCAAATCGAATGGGTTGCAGGTGAGTTTGGCTAATTGTGAAATGTTAAAACCCGTTTAAACACTTTTTAAATGCTTAAAATATAATAAACCATTATACTTGCAGACCTGCATTGAACGAATGCTCAATCTGACCGATCACCTGCGACGATTACGCGTTGACCGCTACGAATATGTTGCCATGAAGGTGATTGTGCTGTTGCAGTCAGGTAAGCTCACCACAAATATTTCGTAGATAATAACCTAATAGCCCAACCTTCAGATACCACGGAGCTGCAGGAGGCCGTAAAGGTTCGTGAATGCCAGGAGAAGGCCTTGCAAAGCTTGCAGGCTTACACTTTGGCCCATTATCCCGACACGCCGTCAAAGTTTGGGGAGCTACTGTTGCGCATACCCGATCTGCAGCGTACGTGCCAGGTGAGTTATGGAATATTAATTAGAAATATTAAAATATATTCAAAATTCCTCTTTGTTTAGCTGGGCAAGGAGATGCTGACGATCAAGACTCGCGATGGCGCCGATTTCAACTTGCTGATGGAGCTCCTGCGCGGAGAACATTGACAATTGATGATGACGAAAACGGTGGAAATATGCTTCCGCTGGCACAACAACAAGATTTACATACCTAGTATTAGATATAAATATAGTTTAGCTTTAAGTTATCTACACCTATAAGCTCTGAAAACATGTGCCTAAAAACCAAAGCCACGGCATCAGTCGCATCGGGACAGGGACGATGATGATGATGAAACTAAGCGCAAGCGCAGGATTGCCAAACCTTTTACACACCCAATATATATTTTGATATATGTATGATGGCCCTCGATCGCGGCTGTTGTTGTTGGCTAGAGTTTCCAGTAAGAAAAGTATATAATGTTTTTGCTATATATACATATATACATACATTTGACTTATGTATAGAGTAAACACTAAAGCACACATGGAAAATGAAAAGACTAAACAATTTATTTAAAAGAATACTTTTAGGCATTAAGCAGAGGTAGAGAGAGCGACAGGGAGAAGGGCAACCACAAAAGGCAAATCAAATTAAATTTAGTTAAAGCAGCTAGCGACTTTTTATACATACATACATATACATACCTATATGTAAGAGGGGAATAAATTCAAAACTATTTTTTAATGAATTGCCAAAACCTATTTAAGGGTTTATTAAATGGAGGGGAGCTGCTAGGATTTTCGATACATATATAAACTATACATTAATGTGGAAAACGGATAGTTGAATCCAACTTTTAAATGTTGTAGCATTTAGTTTTTAGTGCAATTTCACCCTTGTCTACATATAACTATATATATATATATATACAGCCAGATATGGCCGCAAAACTATATACAAAACAAAAAAAAAAGAAAAAAAGACCACTCGAAATCGCCAGCTCTCTGGCTGGCCAAGACTATTCCAGTGATGCTAATTTGTTGCATAAAAAACACACAACTACATACATACATAAATCAAATTTATAATCATTTTCATTCTGTACTTTAGTTTCGTATTAATTAATTCATTACGTTTATGGTGTAACTTTTACTTAAATAGCTGAAGCAAATCCTGCAACAGGATTTAAAACATAATAATTACAATTACCGAGAATAATTTTTTGCTTATAAACTAGATAGTTAGATATGTATGTCTATATGTGAGTACGTTAACTGTAAAGCTCTTCCTGCCCCACCAGAAAAGCAAAAGCAAAAGCAAAAAAGATTGTAAGACATGAAATTCCAAATGAAATAAAAGAGATCAAGAGAGACAACAACACATATACTTAAATTCAAAAGACAGGAGGCCATCGTGATTTTTTTTGTAATGAATCTAAAATTATTTATTCTTAATCATATTTTGCCATTTAAAAATCAAAAACAATTGTATTTAATACCCTAACGAATGTATAATTTTCTGTTACCATCACGACGTCGATCTCAGTTCATATCGATCTTGGCCGCCTGTCTAATCCCGCTGCTGTCCGTAAATGTAAACCTAAACTTAAATTGAAAATAGTTAAATGTTAATAGAATTAAACAAAAAAACGCTCTAACTAAATATCAATATACAGAGTACCATAGTTAAATAAAGAAGACACCCAACAAAATCAATCAAAAGTATCATATAATTTACGTAGCAAGAATAAATATTGTAAAATCGGCAGCTTCTACTACTTAAGTCAATTGCTTAAGTAGCCAGATTGTGCTCAAAATGGAAAACAAAAACACAACTGTTTCAGTCTTATAAACTTTTACTTGTGTCACATGTTTTATTTCGCCACCAAACTCATCCCACACATAGGAAATATCGTTTGCTTTTAAATAAATGTAATTATTGAAATATAAAAACAAAATAAATTGGTCAACAATTAAACGTAAATTGTCAATGCAATATTTTGTAATAAAAAAACTATGATAAAATCCTTAAAAATATCAATTTTGAAATGGATTTTGGGTTTAGATAAATGGAAGTTTACAAGAAACTCACCCCATGAAATGTAAGTTCAACCAATAATTTTAACCAAAATATAATTTAGACTCTAAACTTTAGAGTCCAGATGAGCGCATATTGGTGATGAGGTAAGTGTATTCAGGGTAAAAATGCGATTATATCCAATATCCAATATAATATAAAAAATTTGTATTAAAAGTTTTTAATGTCAATATCGAGTTTGATATTAAAATATCGAAAAATATCTGAAAAAGGTTTAAGGGTTTAATAAATTTTTATTTTTTCTAATTATAATGATCCAAAATCATATAAAAAAATTGAATATTTAAAGTTTTTAATGTAGAATGAAATCGAATTTGATATTAAAATATCAATACATAAAATATCTATACCGTTACATATCAGAAAAATTTTTCAAGAAAAATTTAATGTAATTCTAAATTTTTCTAATTATATTGGTTCCCATATATAAAACAGATTATTGATTTATATACCAATTTTAGCTATCGACTTTTGACTTTTAATTATCGATTCAGTAGCAACTTATCGAAAATTTCTTTCTTGCGCTCTGAAGTAAAACCAAATCTGATATATCGTAGGGTAAATATAATTTTAAATTTTCTTTTATCATACAGATTTTAGTTGCTTTTCCCTCTATAAATTAATTAAAACCAAATAAGTACCTTAATTATTAAAAAAAAAAGAAAAGAAATTTCCCTTTTTTCCTACTGGATTTGAATTTTATTAAATTTGATAAATTGTCGAATGATTTTGAAAGAACGTATTAATTGTTAGCCGCTAATAGTTCCTACGGGCTATGGGTGAAATTAAAATAACTTAACTTATTTTTCTTATCCAGTATAACTCTTTGAAATTTGTTTGTTTTTGGCCACTGAAACCACAACCCTTCAGTGCCTGTCCCTAAAGACCGCACGGTGCCTGTGCCCATCTGTAAAAAATTGAACGTTAAACGAATTAATATAGTAAGCTCTAGCACATCAACTTACCCCATAGGACTGTAGCATGGTGCATTCATTGGGCAACATCCATCGATTTGGCAGACTCCTGGGGTGGCACCTCCACCAGTAAGTTTCAACGGGCAGCAATTGGAATCCTTATCGGGAATAGGACTGCAACTTTTACCCAGAGTGCAAGACGGAGGGCGATATGGGTTGGCATCAACCTGAATCGGATTGCTATCAGAAGAACATTGGGAAAAGGTACACTGCCCGAACCCGCCGCCCAGCGGCAAATCCTTCCAACAGCAGCCACCGTAAAGTTGGTGATGCTGGTTGCCCACGCCTGTGTGTGCCTTGTAGTCCCTGTTGTAAACGGTTTGGGTCTGGATTGGACCATCCAAGAAGCAACTATACATGGCATCATTGTGTTGTTTGGCGTCGTTCCAGGTAACCCTGGATTGACTAGGTGGCATTTTCTGGTAGCTGCAAGCACCGCAATTAATTGAAGGTCCTGGAAAAACGTTGGAGACTTCTGGTTGTGGCATCATCAGGCTATTGCATGGATTGCCGTTGTATCCATAGCTCTCCCAGGTAACACCCTCTGGGCAAGTCGATATTTTCGGGTAGCTGCAAGCACCAGATCCACCGCAATTAATTGAAGGTCCTGGTAAAACTATGGGGAGTTCTGGACTTCTAATATCGCATTGATTAGTTTTGTATCCATAGGAGCTGTCCCAGGTAGCCCTCTTTGGGAAAGACTGTATTTTCCGGTAGCTGCAAGCATCACAACCACAGCAATCATTACCAGTTTTTGTACAAACTTTGCAGTCTTCTGGTTTTGGCATTATGAAACCCCGATCAGAATCATTTTTTTCCAGGCAGCAACAATCGGGAAATTTGAACCCCGTAGTTTTAAGTGATCCCCGAGAAGAGTTTTTGGAAAAGCTATCACTTGCTTTGCGAACCTTGCGGGTTTTTGAATCACAACTCGGCCTCGATGAGCAGTTGCTGGTGGTGGCACGATGTGAAGAGCTAGAAAAAGAGTACTGGGTAGGATCGGAATGGAATCTGCTTTCGGTGCTCGTTTCTTCGTTGCTAGTTCCTGACAGTTCAGAAGTGGAATCTTGGCTGCAAGCACAAGGCGCAGAGCTATAGTCACAACAATTAGTTGCTATTGGTGTAAAACACTGGCAGACTTTTGGACTTTCTGCGCCGCCACACAGGGATTCATTAGAGCGTATGTTTTTCATCTCCTCCTGGGAAGTGGCCTCTAAGCCGACATCGTTGACCAAGTTTTTTTGCGCGCAGCAGCAATATAAAGGAAGTTCTGGTGAAACCGAGCCACTGTCTTCTTGAGCTTCCGAAGCGGAAGTAGCGAGTGTAGCGGAAGTAGCGAAAGTACCGGAAGTATCTGAAGTCTGCTCAAAGCAGCAACAGCCAATACCATGATCAGATGGATTCTGCTGTTCATACGGCTGTCCATATGACTTTTCACACGACTGGTCATATGATTGTTCATAAAGATGTCCATCAGGATGTTCATATGACTGTTCATAGGGCTGTTCATAAGTCTGTTCATACGGTTGTTTATATGGCTTTTCAAATGGCTGTTCACACTTCTGTTCATGTTCATACTCGTCAGAAAAATCACAACAGTCGCAGCAGGTTGGATAGACGCAATAAGATGGGTTGGAATAGCTGCGGTTCTGAGAGGTAAATGATCCATATCCATGGTATATTTCTGTCTCGGCGAAGGTTACATTGTTCGTCCTACGTAAACAACGTAGAGGGGCTAAAAGGCATGATAAGTTGGTGATTAGTTGGTAAAAAGTTTGTGATTAACGTAGCTTCTAGAAAGTTTAAATTTTATAAAAGAGAACTAGGAGCTTTTGTGTAACTAAACTTTTTTGATATTAAATGAACACTTATATATGCACTTATATTCGCCCGGGGTTATGACTTTCACAATAACTACTTGCTTACCTCCATTTGTATTTTCCGAGCTATCAAACGATGACGTGTTTCCACCTCGCTTGATAATTTGCCCGGAAGCAATGCGGTTATTTGCATTTTCAGGCTTGTTGAGTAGTTCATCATGTGGCTGATCCCTCAAATTGTTCTGCAATGTAGTCGAGGAGACCACCTGCGCAAGGCTGGGATTAGAATTTTGACTTGTGTTTTGGTTTTTCAAAATTGAAGGGGGTGAAGTTTTCACACTTTTCGGCATTGTTGGAGGTATATACGTTTTGTACATTTGATCTAAGCTTTGGATTGTTTTCATGGTGCGCAGGTTAGCCTCATTGTCTTCGAAGCTTGTGTAATGCCGGATGTTGGAAAAATCCATTGTTGTGTTTTGTTCAACTGCACATTTCTGAAAACAAAACAAAAATTGGGACTAAGACAAGACAAGAAAACTATTTTTGACAAATTTTTCAAAATAATATAGAACTTACAAGTGTTCAGGTTTTTTGAGAGAAGGAGCTTCACTCGAGTATCTTATTCGTAGGATTCTCGGTACTTTTTATGTCAGATAACATAAATTGTTTGCTGTCGAATTGATCTAGATATATTATTACTGTACTTACATTCATTTGTTTGTCCAACGAACACGTGTATTTTATATTCAGGCCACAGTAAAACAATATATATATATATTTAAAAAAAAATATAAGAATCCATATGCTACAGACACCTGTCTTTAGAATTTTCGAAACACTAACTTGAGCTCACTTGCAAAGTGTAGGAAAAAGCCATTGCATTGTTTTAGCCATAATCGCGATCGAGCATTGTGCAAATCTTATTAGTATTGCCGTTGGTAGCTCTATAAAAGCCAAGCCCTGGACTCCAGAAATCAGTTGACTTCGATCATCCGAAAAGTAATCAATTTAAAATGAAATTCCTTTTGGTTTTGTCCTGCCTCGTCCTGTACGTGGCCCTTACATGCGCCCAGAACCATTGCAACGGACGTCCTCGTAAGTGGTCCTTAAACCTAATCCATAACAAAAATAAATTATATTTACAATCTTAAAAAAAAACAGGTCACCAGGACTGCGATGGAGGCCGGAACGAAGGAGTTCGCCATGCCCATGGTTGCGATCCCGAACCCAATCCTGTGATGTGGTACTATAACCGAGCCACCAGGGAATGCCTAAGGATGTCCTACAACGGCTGTCATGGAAACAGCAATCGCTATTGCTCCAAGGCGCACTGCGAAAGCAGCTGTAATCGTCGGGACTGAGACCAATTTTATATTTTATCTATGGCATAAAATATCTCTTGTGACAAATAAACTAAAATATTTTTGCAAAAATTAAAAAAAAAAAATGTTTTAAATTAAAAAAAGCGGATTTAAAAGTTGTAACTAAAAATTATTGAACTAATTAAAAAACTTTAATACGTTTGAAATAATATTTTTATTTTTTGTTTAATTTTAAAATCAAAAACTAAAAATGTTTTAAATTTCAAAAAAGTTTAGCTACAAATTATTAAATTGTTTTAAACAATCTCAACCTTAAATAAACTCAAAATAATATATATATTTTTTTAAATTTTAAAATTAGTTTTATGGTAAAAGAAAAAGTAAAACAAAAAATTCTTTAATTTAAAAAAAAATGGTAACATAAATTATTAAAATAATTAAAAAAATTTCAACATAAAATAAGTTTGAAAAATTTTTTTAATTTTAAAATTATTTTTAAATATTTCAAGCGAGCGGTATATTTAGTATTTTCCGGGCATACCACTCGCGTTTACCCACACTGATTTGGATATCGATATTTCTAATCATCGAAAGTATCGATAGCAGCTCAACCAACTTACGAAATTCAATAAAAACGGCTCAAAGGGGGAATTTCCCAACAAAATGAATGGAAAACTGATGCAGGGTGCCATCCGCGCCTTGAGGTTGGGCAGCTGCAGCCAGTGGCCTGCGTCCGTCGCCCGGATCACAGTACGTGCCTACGGTAAGAGCGGAAAACGCGACCCACACCGGCGCACACATATTTCATAACAAGCCGGCGCTCCTCCGTTCCTCAGCCACGCCGCCGAAGAGATTCTACAAGAAGACTTCTGTGCTGAGCAGCGACGGAGGCTACGAGGTGGTGTTGGACCATCGGAAGCTAAAGACACCCAAAGGCACGCCATTCCTGGTGCGGAGCGAGCCACTGGCCATCGCCGTGGCCACCGAGTTCGACGCCCAGAAAGAGCACATCGAGCGTTCTCGCATGCACCTCTCCGCGCTCTGCTTTACGGCCATTGACAACCCGAACAATCTCACCAAACTGGACATGGTCAACTACCTGCTGAACTTCATACCCACCGACACGGTGCTCTTCCAGTACGATGTGAGTAGAAGCATCTAAATATCCAACTGGCATCCTTTCACTGATCCTTATCCGTTGCAGGACGAGAAAGACTTGCAGGATCTGCAGCTGAACGAGTGGGACCCGGTGATAGCGTGGTTTAATCAGCGCTACGAGACGAATCTTCAGAAGACCCTCAACATCACCCCGCCTCAGGTCAGCGAGGAGGACAAGATGAAGATCGCCAAGCACTTGCACTCCTACAGCCTGGATACGCTGCATGGTAATGTATATCCTGCTTAGGGGTTATCTGCATATATAAGCAAGCATGTCCTCCTTTCTTGTAGGCTTCATCTTTGCAGTGGACACCCTCAAGTCCATTATCCTGGCCTGCGCCGTCATTGAGCAGATGTTGACGGTGGAGAAGGCGGTGGCCTTGGCGCGTTTGGAGGAGGAGTATCAGCTAAAGTTCTGGGGACGCGTGGAATGGGCCCACGATCTCAGTCAGCAGGAGTTGCAGTCCCGTCTGGCGGCAGCCGTGCTCTTCGTACACCTGAACTGTTCCGAATACTTTGTTAAGCAAAAGTCGATTCTGTAAATAAATAATTCCAAATCAGTATGAATATTTAGTTACTCTCATGATCCAACTTTATTAACTGTTTATTGATCGTATACAGAACGAGAGAAAGCATGAATTTTTTCTAGAATAAAATTAGTTGTATCATCAGAGTACACAGCAGGCAATTTGTATACTCTTTAAAGTATTTGCATCAAATGTTTACTTTTAAACAAATTAATTTGGAACAGAGGGCATTACATTATATACACACCAATATTTAAGGGGCTGTTGTTTTCAGATGGATTTTCAATCCATCAAACCAAAAATATATATTCTTTAATTGATCTATCAAATTGAGCAATGAAGCAATAAAGTTATGCAATTATTAAAATGTCATTCATCGTTTATAACTATTGAACACATTTTGTAGCTTTCTATTTCTGAGTTCTCTGAACAAATATTAGTTGTATTTCGGAGAAGACAATATGCGGTTTATTTTCGTGTGTGCTCTCTTAGGAGTATTTGTTTCGCATTTTATAGTAAGTCCGAAATCCAATAAATTATAGAAACGGAAAATATAAAAATAAAATAAAATCAATTTTTAGGGCGCTGTCGTTTTCAGATTTACAAACTTTGTGTGTATGAGCTACAACGAATCGTGGTTTAAAGTCCACCAATGTCGCCTCAAGGCCATTAGTCGGGAGAATGTGATCTTAAATATGAACGGAACAATTCTTCATGCAGTCAATACTATCCATCTCCAATACATAATGTTAAAAAAGGCAAATGGCTTTAAACCTTGGCTCGTGGACAGCAGAATGGATGTATGCCGTTTTCTGCGATCCAACTATGACCCTACCTTCAAAATCATCTTCAATCTTTTTAAGGATTTTACCAATGCAAATCACACATGTCCCTATTCGGTAGGTGGCTTATATTTTACAAACAAAAATATAAATGCCACTTATATTTTTTTTCAGGGTCCGGTGATTGTAAAGGGATTTTATCTAAGACCTGAATTATTAATTCTCCCGTTTCCAACTGGCGAATATATGCTGTCGTTAAGATGGTCTTATGATCACAGACATCAAATTGATACCAATATCAGTTTTTTGTTCGTTGAGGATATGAAGAAAACCTAAAATACTTTTCACAATCAAAAAAATTAATGGAAATGTCAGACAATTTAAATATATATAAAAGCAAAAACCGATTCTTTAAATAAATATTTCCAAATCAGTATGAACAATTACTTGCTCCCCAGATATAACTTGGTTTACCAATTTAATTCATGCTATTAACATTTTTTAAAAGCTTAAGGGCAATCAAGCAAAAAATTGCTCCTCAATTAACATTACTTTAGACGCATTTTTTCTAGAATAAAATTAGTTGGAAGTAAAATTTAGAGCTTACAACATGCGGTTTGTGTTAAGCGTTTGTGTTCTCCTAGGAGTATTTGCATTAAATTTTAACGTACGTTTACAAAAATTTTAAAGAAAGGGTTTGAAAATTATATACCCAACCATTTTTTAGGGCGCTGTCGTTTTCAGATTTACAAACTTTGTGTGTATGAGCTACAACGAATCGTGGTTCAAGTTCCATCAATGTCGCCTTAAGGCCATTAGTCGGGAGAAGGTGGTCTTGAATATGAACGGAACTATTCTTCATGCAGCCCACAAAATTCACCTTCAAGTCAAGTTGTTTAAAAAGGCAAGTGGCTTTAAGCCTTGGCTCCTGGACACCAGAATTGATGTCTGCCATTTTGTGCGAACCAACTATGACCCAGCCGTCAAAATCGTCTTCAGTCTTTTTAAGGAATTTTCCAATTTTAACCACACCTGTCCCTATGTGGTAGGTTGCTACTATTTTACCAACAAAATTACAAATGCCACCTACTTTCAGGGTCCGCAGATTGTAAAGGATTTTTATCTAAGACATGAATTAATACTCCTGCCGGTCCCAACTGGCGAATATATGTTGTCGTTGAGATGGTTGTTTGATCAGAAACTTCAATTTGATACAAATGTCAGTTATGTTTTTGTTGAGGATATGAAAAAAACTTAAAAAATACTCCATTCTTGACAATCTCAAACTTTCCACAATTAAAAAAAAAATGTATGTGTGATACAAATTAAATATTATATAAAACTTAATATTAAATTCAGTTTCTTTCTTGGTGATGATGCAATCAAAATATGTCTTCTTGTAGAGCACAAACAAATAAATCAACGTATTCATAGAGTGTTTCTTTTAAAACTTAATTAGCAACAAATCAAACCGTATATTATATTTTTTAATTGATCTATTAAACCGAGCAATGAAGCAATAAATCTATGCAATTATTAAAATGTTATTCTTCATTTATAACTATTGAACTTTTCATTTTAGCTTCCTATTTTCGAGTTTTCTGAACAAATATTAGTTGTATTGTGGAGAAGACAATATGCGGTTTATTTTTGTGTGTGCTCTCTTAGGAGTATTTGTTTCACATTTTACAGTAAGCCCGAAATCCAACTAATTATAGAAACGGATTATAAAATAAGTTCTTAGGTCGGTGTCGTTTTCAGATTTACAAACGTTGTGTGTATGAGCTACAACGAATCGTGGTTTAAATTCGATCAATGCAGACTAAAGGCCATTAGTCGGGAGAGGGTTTCATGCAGCCAATAATATCCATCTCCAATACAAATTGTTTAAAAAGGCAAATGGCTTTAAACCTTGGCTCATAGACGGCAGAGTTGATGTCTGCCGTTTTCTACGATCCAACTATGACCCTTCATTCAAAATCATCTTCAATCTGTTTAAGGATTTTACCAATTTTAATCACACGTGTCCTTATGTGGTAGGTTGCTAATATTTGACTAACAAAAATATAAATACGTCATTCATACTTTTCAGGGTCCGCAGAATGTAAGGGGATTTTATCTTAGACCTGAATTATTAATTCTCCCGTTTCCAACTGGCGAATATATGTTGTCGTTGAGATGGTTGTTTGATCAGAAACTTCAATTTGATACAAATGTTAGTTTTGTTTTCGTTGAGGATATGAGAAAAACTTAAAAAATACTCCATTCTTGACAATCTCAAACTTTCCACAATTAAAAAATAAATGGATGTGTAATACAAATTAAATATTATTTAAAATTTAATATTAAATTCAGTTTCTTTGTTGGTGATGATGCAATCAAAATATATATACCGTCTTCTTGTAGAGCACGAACAAATAAATCAACGTATTCATAGAGTGTTTCTTTTAAAACTTAATTAGCAATAAATTAAACCGTATATTATATTTTTTAAATGATCTATTAATCCGAGCAATGAAGCAATAAAATGGTGCAATTATTTAAATATCATTCATCATTTATAACTATTGAACGTATCATTTTAGCTTCCCATTTTCGAGTTCTCTGAACAAATATTAGTTGTATTTAGGAGAACGCAATATGCGGTTTATTTTCATGTGTTTTTTCCTGGGAGTATATGTCTCACATTTTAGTGTAAGTCAAAAATGCTATTGATTTCAGAAACAGATTATAAAATCAATTATTAGGGTGCTGTCGTTTTTAGATTTACCAATTTAGTCTGTGTGTCCTATAACGAATCCTGGTACATAGTTCAGCACTGTCGGCTAAAGGCTGTAAGTCGAAGCAAGGTGATCCTGAATTTTAACGGAACAGTCCTCCATTCAGTTAATGACATTCAAGTTCATGTTAAGGCGTTTAAAAAGGCAAGTGGGTTTAAGCCATGGCTTCTAGATTCCAAAGTGGATGTCTGCCGGTTTTTAAAAAGGAACTACGACCCCTTCGTTAAACTTGTCTTTAGTCTTTTTAAAGATTTCTCCAATTTCAACCACTCGTGTCCCTATCTGGTAAGTTGTAGTCAATTAATATATAATTTATATACTTAAATATTTAATTACAGGGCCTGCAGATGGTTAAGGGATTTTATCTGAGGCCGGAATTATTACATCTCCCGATTCCGACTGGAGAATATATGCTAATGATAAGGTGGTACTTTGATAAGAAACTTCAATTTGATACCAATGTTAGTTTTTTGTTCGTTGAGGATTTAAAGGCTACATAAATAAATACTACAAGGATCATTTGTGCAACAACAAAAAAACAAAAAAAGGGAATTAGTTAAAATAGTCTAGAATAAGAAAAATCGAATTATAAGTTTGTATATTATTTTATTAAATCAATATGCTGGCTTGATTTCGAATATAAAATCGACTATACCGTTAATTTTTTTGAAAGCCGATAATGGGTCCAATTTGCGCCGATAACTCACGAGCACTAGCAAAATCACGAGAACTAGCAATGTTTTCCACCCCGTTTTTTAGATACTTTTATTAAACAGTGCAAGTCCTGTTTCGTGGCTCTAAAAAATGCTAATATTTCGACAATCCATTGGTTTTTTTAGCCTATTACTACTTATTCGAATTAAAATGCGACAGACCAAAATCAGAACGAATAACATATCGATGTTCCGATTTCTTGCGATAGTATCGCCTGTGGTGTACAAAACCGATACTTTTCCCACACTAAAGTATCGATAAGAAAACACTTCGCTGCAAACATCGGTGATATTTTCCGCATCCAGAAACGGTCACATTCGCTCAAAATTTCGTACGGTCGTGGGTGGCGCATCGCGTGTAGCTGCCAATTAAACAAATGCAAAATACTGTACAAGCGCCAGTCCAACCGAGCAAATAGCAAATAGCGAGTGGAGCTCGCAGACACCAAAAACACAAGCGGAGACGTTGTTTTTGTTGTTATTGCGTTTTGGTAAGCAGCGTCGTTTACGTGCGTGTTTTGAGTTTCTGTGCGTTGGTGTGAGTGCTTTTCACCAGAAAAATGTTAATTAAAGTGCTGCAAAATCAAACAGAAAAGAATTTATACAATCGCATTCGTGTTCAAACCGAAATTTTGCAAAATGCGACGAAATCGCAGAGCCAAAGAAGAAGAAGACGAAAAAACGAAACTGTGTTTGTTGTGCGGGGGGTGCTCATCTCCTCTTCCTCTCGCTCTTACGTTCTCTTTCACCCTCGCCTTCTCTCTCGCTCTCGCTTCGCAAAGTGGAAGTGGAAAAACCAGCGACAGTAACAACAACAATAGCTGTAGCAGCAGCGTGTGTCTGAAATCGTACACTCTCAGCTCAGAACTCTCCGCTGCTAAATTGTATTTCAATAATTGTTAAAGCAGCAGTTGAAACAACAACAAGAATAGGTATTTTCGCAAAAACAAATCAAGCAAACGACGTACGACGCCCTTTGGGGGGCAGTTGTTGTGCTTGTTGTTGCACTGGCGCTGCCACCTTGTTCGATTTTATGCTGCTGTTGTTGCTTTTGTTGCCTTTTTTATCGCATTAACAATTTGAAAATTGCCTTCGCTGCGCTGTTGCTGCTATGATATTGTTGTTGTTGCAACCGCTGTCTTTTGTTTGTGCAAAAGTGTGTTTAATATTTGATTTTCGTTTGTCTGGGTCTCGCCTCCATCGAATAATCAGCTGCTTGCAACGCCCCCAGAATCGGAAAATCTCTATGCACAACTCAGTGAGTGCGCGCGGGTGTTTTTCCTAAATCATAGGTAAGTCTAATCTAAAGAATTTGGTAAATTTAGGTTTGTTTTTTGATAATATGTAAGTGTTCAATTACTTTTAGAGCCAAACACCTTAATTTTTTATTTTATACTCTTTAATCAGATTAGAAACACCTTGAAATAGGCTCCTTGCATTATAAATAGCAAGACTTTCTAAATCAGTTATATTAATTCATCCTGTGTTGTACTACATTGTCTTTCACTTCTTATATTTAACTGAATTAAATAAATATATGTATAGAATTTTCCATGAACAAATTTATTTATTCACATGCAATTTCCTGATTTTAATTGAGCAGAATAATTGCACAATACATAAAATGTGTATTTTAATCCTGTTTCGATACAATTTAACCGAAAAGTGATTTACATATTTATAAGTCATTTTTAATCCATTGATTCCCCTTCATATTTATTCGCGATTCAATTCTAAATTTATAGAAACTGCCATCTTCCAGTTAAAAAACGTGGCAGGCATTGGTAATTTTAGCCTAATTTGTCATGCATACCAAAGTCGATAACAAATCCCCGTCACATATGCGATGAGGCCTCAATCCACGCGCTTAACTTTGTAAAATATGTTATGTTCATTGGAGGAAATGTCTAAAAATAGCCGAACATCGAGGAGGCAGGCAGCTCCGAAAGGCTCAAGCTCGGGCTTCGACTTTGGCTTCGGCTTTGGGATTCGAGGACGCGCCTTGCCTTGGGCCTTGGCTGGGCATTTGAGCTTGAAATGAGCTATTCAATTTGCCCGTCGGTGGTATTTCCTTCATTCCGTAGCCAAAAACGGTTGGCGAGTGCGAAAAATGTTGCGATAATCAAATCAAATCAGCGCACCAATGAGGTTAAACAGGGGAGGACAACCCTGAATTGGTCGTTCAGGAATATGACTTCGTCTGCCTCTCTAATGAGGATGCATTCAATTAAATTCAAATTTTTCACTTGCATGTGGGCGCACACATAACCGCAAACAGCACAGAGTTCTACAGTTTGGGTTATCTATATGACACGAGTGGAAATTCTGTATGTTTAGTAAAGCAGCTGCTGGCTGAGAACACATCGTTATCGTAATCCTTTAAACAGTTGATGGTGGGTCCCATATAGGGGTTAAGCTTACATAATGGCTTCTTATTTAATAAAATTGAATAACCTTATGAAAAACAATTACTGAATAAATAAAATATTAACTAAAATGTTTCCTTGAGAATGCTAGACTTATAATTCGCCAGAACTAGGACTGTCTTTAATGAGAGTGGCATTCTGTAGTAGATTCCTCTTCAACTTTTCAATCAAACCCCATACTACATTTATTGTTTGCCGGAAAAGATCAATTTGTAGACCAGGACCGACGCCGGTTGGTTTGTTGCAATTAAATTGCTTAATTACTTTGCTCTCAAATGCTCGAATGACAATCGAGTAGTGCAGCAACAGATACAGATACTTAGTTGTACAAAGGTTGCAGTATTAATTCCCTGTTCTGCAACAAATATAGGGTTCAAAGCTCTTGGAGCAACCCAGTTCTCAGGGCCAGTTAGGGAGAAGAAATGGAACGGCCAGATGAAGATGTAGATGGGGAGGAAGGGGCAACAGAGCTTGCGGAACCAGTCGGACAACATTTGGCGATTTGAATGTCGCTAAGAAGATGGAAAGCAAAGCGAACAATTCTCCCTATGCCCGCAATGTATCTAAGTATCTTTGGATCTACATGTATTCGTGTTTGTTTCCCTGTCTTTGTGCAATTCAAGTTCATAGCGTTTTTTCGTCAGTCGCTGAAAGAAGCTCGCCAAAAACATAAGATACAGCAGAAGCAGAGTTGAGAGATACAAAGAACAGCTGGAGTATCTCCTTGGCATATAGAAAGAAGGCATATACATTTCTCAGTCTTCGACTTTCTTGGGATTTGCTTTCTTTTCACAGTTTTTCTCTTTTTGTACTTATATACATATTAGATGTGTACATATCTAAAGAAATTATTGGCCTTTTTTCGGGCGAATTGTTTATATAAACCGAAATAAAGTAGCGAATGTGTGGGCGTAGAATGTTATTGTTATTATAATTATTAAAGTGGTTTTCTGGTTTGGAATACGCACTTAAAGAGCTGTACATTTTATTGCTATATTTGTATATATCTTGTGGAAATGTATCCAATTTTGTATACAAGCTTGCTGTTTAATCCTTTTGTATTTAAACACAATAATCGTAGAAAATCTGCGTCTAATCCTTTATTTCTGCTTTGCTGTCAGTTTCTCTTGAATTTGTATCCCTTTACACATTCCTTTTTCCTTATCTGCAGACTCGACAGTCTCTCGGTAGTCATTGCCTATCGTCAACTATGCTCATTATGAGCACCTCAACGTAACTTGCATCATCTTTGGCTGGCAGGTGGAAAAAGTGCTTCCGACTTCCGTGTGAATGCTACATTTTCTGTGTTGCTTTCCGTTGCGTTGCGTTGCGTTGCCTCAAAGGTAAAACAAGTCACTTGGTATTTCCTTGGCGTCGCCGAGGACGACAAACCACCCCAAACACCGCACAGAAAACAGCGGCAAACACCACAACAACAGCTTATTGATTTTCTACAACAACTTTGTGATGTTTAAACAGCAAATTAGTTCAGTTTGTTTGCCTGTCGTGAGCCGACCACGCGTCAAATGAGTTTTTCCACTCCAGAGCAAGGGAGGGGGGCTCCTCGTGACGAAGGAGAGTGGGAACCACCACATTCATTCATTCACCTGTGGGCGACACGCCTCGATTGCTTCCAGGAATCGCCTCAGCTCGTGGACAGGTGTAACAACTTTCGGGGGTTGACATGCAAATTATAAAAAGGAAATTTCAAAGTGGACAGAGTAGAATGAATTCGTTTTTTGGGTGGTTTGGGTAAAATCAATTATTTTGTTTGTGGGTCAACATTCTTCCTTACGTTACGTTGGGTAATCCACCTCAAAGTTTTTACTTCATGTGGGAGTTTGTGCGTGTGTGTGCTGGCCCCCTCTCTCTCCTTTCTCCGTTTTTTTAAGGGGGCGCTGAACTTTAAAAAGCAACCGTTTACACTGCACTACACGACAGACAGACATCTGGCGATTCACCGCTCACTGCACTCGAGTCCTACACTAATTTGCATTTTTGGCGAACCCAGCATTCCCGCCGCTGCCTGAGCTTGGTATTTTGAAATATCGTGTGCTGTCTTATTTTTGTTGATTCGGTGTATTTTTAGCTTTGCGTCTGATAAAAAAGTGTTCAGAGAGCGGCAAAGTCTGTTTCTCCTTCATTTTAGCCGCTTCCGTTCGGTGGCGTTACGCTCGACTTCTGGGCGATATCGGAGGAAGCGCGTGCTGGTCTTGGTTCCGGTCTGAAATAGAAGAGCTTCTATAACATTCACAAGAGTTGTGATATGTAAGAAAGGGGAAAAACTGAATTTTATACCAGCATAACTGTGTGTGAATGTTTATGAATATTTAGAGGTTGATGTAAGTTACTTTAAAATATTTTTAATAAGAAGTAAACCTCTTCTATTTTGTGTATTAAGTATATCGTTTACTTTTTTAAGATCTTTCAGTGATCTGTTGTTCTCCTTTAATGACTCTCTCTCTCTGTTTCCTAAAACTCGATTCAAATTACTTTCATTTTATTTGATTTCTATTCCTAACAATCCCAGCTCTGAACTGATTTTGTCAGCTTCAAGTTAGTTTGCTATTTTATTAGTTTCTCTTGTCCCCTGAATGATCTGCCTTCTTCCGCTCAGCTCCACTGTACCTCGTTAGCTTATTTGCATGTGATTTTAAATTCGAATTCCAATTCATTTGTTTGTTTGTTGGCTTTCAGTGCTTTTGCACTCGCAAACTGAAAACTGGAAACAAGTTTTGGGCTTTTATTTTGGTCTTGCTCTAATTGCTTTAAAGTTTTTGGAAATCGTTTCGCATTAACATAATATATGTGTGTAGGGTTGTTTTTATTAAATGCCTGTGTCTCTGTCCAGGTGTTTTTTCTTCTCTCCGTTGTCTCGCCTGAATATTCAAAATTCGATTGTGCATTTTTATTAGCCAAGGTCGTTTCGGTTTGCTGAATGCTCGCTGGGATTAATTCGTATTTTTGGAATCTTATCAGTTAAGATTAGGCTCTGTGTATAATCAAACGATTTTCGTATTACCTTATCATTACCGGGGGTACTGTCTTTTCTGTTATCTCGTTTCGTCTTTATCGGAGGAAACAGGCACACATTCTCTCGCCTATACCGAAGCTAGGTTCGGTTTGTTATTATTATTATTTTATAGCCATTGTTTGATTTCAAGCTGTTTGCGTTTTTTTAATAGCTTTTTTTTTGTTCCAACCTCTCTTATCTTACCTGGGTACACATGCCCATAAAGTGAGTTTCTTGGAAAATAAATTGTGTAGCTGACTAAATGTTTTAAGTGCAAAAAGATATCGATACGATCGGCGAAGAGTCTAAGATAAGGGCTTGTAAATTGTGTGTACACTTTATCGGTGTACTTATAAAAATTTATTGGTTTAGGAGATAGTTTGAGGGGAAAATTTTTTTTGGCAAGATAGAAATTAGCTTCCTAGAATATTTCTTTGGTTCTTTGGTATCAAAGTTCTTTATATGTATTGATAAGCTATACAAAGCGACATTCCAAAGTCGTCTCTAGGTCGACTTGACGGGATTTGTTGGCAGTACATGCCGTTAATGGGACACCTAAATATTCAAATGAACTTTGGTAGTCACAATGCCATGACATTTCCCACTATGGTCTTACTCTTGTAGTGAGCCTTTTCTTCGTGTAAAGTGTACACTTACGACATTTTGCCGTTTTAACTGTGAGAAACTTTGACGTGCTTTCTTCTTGTGCCTCTTTTCCCTGGCAGAAAACAAGTTCCGTCTGCTTCTCATTCTGTGTTGAGTTTTGGTCTTCCGTTTTTGTGGTGGCAACTGTTTAGCTTTAGCGGCGCTTTTTTTCTATTCGCCGTCCGTCTGTTTTGGAGGTTATTTTATT